GGCCTGATGATAAACCTTTATTTTCTCTTTCTTGACCCTCCAATCCCCGTTAGCTTGAGAAACAACCAAGTTCGAGTCTCTGATGATGTCCAACCTTATTGCCCCTAATTCTAAGACAACTTCTAATCCAGCGATACATGCCTCGTATTTTGCTTCATTGTTAGACGCTCTGAAACAGAGTTTGAAAGCTAGGGGTATATGGGACTCATCGGGTGATATGAACAGCAAACCTATCCCATAACCATGTTGATTAGCTGCTCCGTCAAAGTACATTGTCCATGTTTCCTCTTCCACCTGTAGAATGTCTTCATCTGGGAATAGTTACTCTACTGCTTCATCTCCTTCCACTGGGTGGTCTGCCAGAAATTCCGCTACGACTCTCCCTTTGACTGATTTGCCCGTGACATATTTAAGGTCAAACTCCGAGAGAAGAAGCAACAAACGAGCTAGCCTACTCGTAAGCGCTAGTTTCTTAAAGAGATATTTGATGGGATCTAATCTCAAAACCAGAATTATGGAGTGAGCTAACAAGTAGTGTCTCAACTTCCTAGTTGCCTAAACCAATGATAAGCAAGCTTTTTCCAAAAGAGTGTAGCGGGTCTCGTAATCCAACATCTTCTTGTTCATATAGTAGATGACTCTTTCCACCTAGCTTTCGATTCTTGAGCTAGCATGCACCCCATGGTTGAATCTGTTACAGGCATATACATGATTAGTGGTTTCTTCGGCTCTAGCAGCAACAATACAGGTGGATTCTGAAGGTACTGCTTGACTTGTTCGAAAGAGAACTAACATCGATCATCCCATCAGAACTTCTTTCCCTTTTCAAGAGACCAAATAGTGGTTCACAAGTTAAGGTTAATTTTGAGATAAATCGTCTTATGAATTACACTTTGCCCAAAAAGTCACATACCTCATTTTCAGTCCTTGGTGGTCGCATTTCTAAGATGGCTTTGATCTTGGATGGATCTATTTCAATTCTTCTCTGCTTGATGAGAAATCCCATCATTTTCCCTATAGTCACCCCAAAAGTGCATTTCTATGGGTTCAACCTTAGTTTGTACTCCCTGATTTGTTTGAAATTTTTTTCCAGTGTGGTGTAGTGGCCTTCTCGTTCTTTGGATTTAACAATCATGTTGTCTACGTATTCCTCAACTTCCTTATGGATCATGTTGTGTAAGATAGTGGTCGTAGCCTTCTGATATATAGCCTTGGCGTTTTTTAACCCAAATGGCATTACCTTGTAACAGTAGGTATCTTATGGCGCGGTAAATGCATTCTTCTCTTTATCCTCAGGTGCCATCAAAATCTGATTATGCTGGGAAAACCCATCCATGAACGATAGCAATGCATGGTCGGCAATGAAATCTACCAGTTCATCGACGTGTGGCAAAGGAAAGTCATCTTTCGGACTAGCTCTGTTCAGATCCTGAAAGTCGACACATATTTTGGTTCTGCCATCCTTCTTCAAAACCAGAACGATATTGGCTAACCAATTTGGATACTCAAATACTAACAAAAATCCCGCATCAATCTGCTTAGTGACCTCTTCTTTAATCTTCAGTGTCCAGTTCTGATGGATTTTGTAGAGTTTCTGCTTGACGGGTCAGGCCTCGAGGTTAAGAGGGATCCAGTGCTGTACAATCTCAAGATCAATGCCAGGCATGACTTCGTAGGACCACGTGAAAATATTTTTGAAATCTTTTAATAAAATGACTAAACACTCGCGTTCCTCCAAAGACAACGAGGAGCCGATCTGGACATAGCAGGGATCTTTCTTAGTATCCACATAACTGCAATGATTTCAACTATGCAAGGCTAAGTATGCCTCTCCTTCTCTCGGCCAATCAAGTTTTTCAAAGCTCGAGGAATTTCTTTCTCTTCATTTTCATTAAAATTTTGAAAATCTTGGTCAATGCAATAAATTAACGACATAAAGAAGTAAACAGAATGTGCGGCATTCTCATTTAGAAGTTCTGATTCTTCGATTACAACCGACTCAAAAGAAAATGGCAAAGAGGACATAGACAGGACCTTGTCACTCGGGCAACCACCCCTGGATATGCCAGACTCAGACGCCTTTAAAGGACTTGAATTTGATTTCGAACCAACAGACTCGGTGGGATCAGATTCAAGCTCATCATCCGGTTCAGAACTGTCAATAGCGTCCTTCTCAAATTGCCAAACTAGGCGTAGAGCCTCAGCTGCATCCACGATGAGACCGGAGTAATCTGTCACTGGTTGATCCTCGATCATAGAGATAATAACACTATCCCCCAAGTTAACGGACTTAGCCCTAGTGTTGGTGTTCATCAATAGGTCAGTCAGTGTTATCTCTAACAGTTCCTCTTCAGCGTTACCTGAGTTGACGCTTCTATCTTGCCCTATACCTACATTCGGGTCAATTTGCTCCTCCTTTTCTTCATTGTCTGACAACCGGTGATCAAAGAAGATCTCAAATCCCGGGTGTCTCATCTTGGTTTCCTGTTCGATCCATGGTTTCAGAAATCCACAAAAAGGGAAATCTTCTCATTGGCGGACAAAGTGTTCGTTCAAGGTTTCCTTAATTGGCTTGTGGACCAGCTCAAATTGCCTCCCGGCCTTTTTTTCTTTAACTCCTTCTCTCAATTCATCCCCCTTCTTTTTTGAGTCTTCTACGGTTGGTTTGTGCCCTAGCCCAAAATATGAGGGTTGTGGCTTATTTCCCTTGCAATAGTATTTTCTTGCCTTTCGCTTTTACCCGGTCTCAATTTAGGGAAGTGTCCTTGTTGATTGATCATTTAGATGGATTGGGTGCTCACATAGTTCCCGTCATCTTATGCTATGATAGATTGTACTAGTTGAGCCTCTACCAAAGAGAAGCTAGAAAGGAACTCATTCTCTTCTCCATGCAGTATTTCTAGTAAGGACGTGGTGGTTCCTGGGGGAGGGTGGATCGAAGAATTGCCTTAAATAGTAACAATCCCACCTTTGAATGGATATTTCACCAATTGGTGAACTATTAATGAAACTGCTCTCATCTGGTGCAACCAAGGCCTTCCTAAGAGCAGATTGAAGGTTGCTGACATGTCCATCACATGGAATTCAACCTCATGCTCAGATGGGCCAATCAGTATTTGGCTCTTGAAGGTCCCCATGACATCACGGCTGATATTTTCATAAGCTCGAACAACTTGCTTATAGGTGTGAAGTCAGTTGGCTTCAAGCCTATGGCATAAGCTGTCCTTGACGGACATACGTTAATTGTTGAACCAGTGTCCACTAGTACTACTGGGATCCACTTCTTCTAGCTCTCCAAAGTCACATACAGGGGTTTGTTTTGGTTGGCCCCTTCAGGTGATAGCTCTTTGTCCGTAAAAGACAACACTAGCGTAATATCCCCAGATGTGACCAAAGACACCAGTTGGTCAGTGGTGGTGTCTATAGGCAGCTTAGTCTTGTTCAATGCATCTAGCAACGCTTGTTTGTGCTCCCGAGAAGCCATCAACAGCCTCCAAATCTATATATCTGTCAGGATCTTCTTAAGCTGCTTTAAGACCAGGTCTTCTTCTGTGTCCTTCTTCTTCAACTTCTCAGCCTCTTTCTCGGAGGGTTCTGCTTGATCTAGGGATGGAGGTTTGAAATAACGACCACTTTTGGTCATGTGGTTAATCTTATCTGTGTACTATGTATTGTCTGGGGTATTGGCTTTTCATCCCTCATCTGTGTACCCGAAACTCAAATTTCTGTCCTCTCATCATTCCCCTACAACCATTGCTGGGTCATTATCGGGTTCCACTCAGATCATATTCACATCGTGCCCTCTGTCGGCACACCACTCCTCTTCTACAGCTGATTCAATCTCTGCATCTCAGTACTGCCTAAGCTTCATTGGCATCCTTTTCTTGTCACTGGATTCCCATTCGAGCTTTTTCATGGTTTGGAGATCATCCGTTTTTGACTGGACCTCTTCTTTTCTCTTCTCTTTTTCTTGCTCCTGGGCTATCTTTCTCTGTATTTTGTTTATCCTCTTTCATTGGAAAGTCTCCAACGCTCGCTCCTTCTTAGTCATAGGCATTGCCTCAGCCTTGCTATTCTCACCAACTTTCTCGCCGTTCGAATTCTTCTTCATATACTCCTCCGTATTAGATTCCTCTCCACTACTTAACCACCCGTGGATGGATTCAGGCTGGCTTGGATCCCATCACCTGATCTGAACGCTTCTTGCATCCTCTTCCTCAAAGAAGTAGGGGTCCTCTAGGTCTTCCTCTATTTCTTCCATGTTGTCAAGACCTTGTCCATACCAGTAATTCAGATTTTGCCTAGGCTCATTTTCTCCAATGGCGTTGATGCTGAGCAAGTCTGGTAGTATGATTACAGGCTTTGGATGATCCGAAGCCACAATATACCGGCTGGGGTCATTCTTTTTTGCAAGTGAGGGCCTCCTCTCCATAACTTAGGTGTTAGACATCCCTATTTCTGGGAATTTCTCTTCTCTTCCAATTCTGCCACCATAGGCTTTGATTGGGTTTTGGGTGTTATATCCATCATGCACAAATCCGTGCTTTTAAGAATAACTGCCTCATGCTTAGGCAGATGGGATGGGGTGATATGTACGTTGGGGTTAAAGGTGGGCGGTAATGTATGGATAAGGTTGATATTTCTAGCTGGGGGGACTGGGTTGTGGACAAGGAGTGTGTTGGTGGTCATATTTGATTTTGAGGATGGACCTGAGGGTGGAGTTATGACTTTGTTGTCGATGAGATCTTGGATCTCATGATGAAGGCGATAACAATGATCAGTGGGGTGACCGTGTTGTTAGTGGAAAATGCAGTATTGGGTGGGATTGTGTTTAGCTGGGAGTGGGTCAGGGAGAGGGCAAGGATCAAGGGGCTTAAGGTGCCCTTACTCTATTAGCAGTTTGAGAGCCTGGGCTGGGCTCATGTGAAGGGGAGTAAAGGTTTTATATTGGTTTTAAGCTAGACTGGCGGTTTGTGAAGTTGCACCGGTAAAGGGATCGGCTATTTGGATGTTGTGGCGACGGTACTGATCTTAACAGGCCTAGGAATAGTGCTATTGCTATCATTGGTACTCCTGGTAAACGGCCTCTTTACTGGCTCACTTGTTCTCTGAATAATGCCTTTCTTGAATGTCCTCTCAATTTGAACCCTCAACTCATGCAAAACACCAAGCGTAGATAGTGGAGCAACTATCATACATTGTAACATGTTTGATCTGAGATTCTGAATTACTAGTCGAACTTGTTCCCTTTTTGAGGGCATGTTCATCATCCTGGTTGCCTTTGCCCTCCATCTTGCAACAAAGTCAATAAAAGGTTCCTTGGGATTATGAGTGGTCATTCCCAGCTCGTTGATTGTCACTTCTATCTGCATATTATACGAATATTGATTAATAAACCCCTCAGAAAGTTCTTTCCAATTCTGTTTAGTCGAGTCCTCCGGTTTGGTATACCAGATAGCTGCCACATTTGATAAAGTTCTTCTAAATAATGACAATTTTTGAGCCCGAGTTAGGCCCATTGGTTTTAGAACATCTGAGAATAGTTGAACATGAACAATAGGATCTCCATTACCATCGAATCTATCGATGTAAGGCATCTTGAATTTTTTCGGCAATCTTACAAAGGCCTCAGTATAGATGTCTTCAATATTTAGGATAGAATTGAAGCCTTGAGATTTCTTGAGCGCCTTCTCTAGCCTGGCAATTTTTATCATAGTCGGATTGATGTTGATGATGTCGAAGGAATGAGTCCCCAGTGGGGCTGTGCTAGAGACCTGAAAGCTTAGGCCTATGTTAATACCTCCTAGGGATCTGGAACTTAAGGATTTTCAACTGGTGAAGGTGGACCAGGGTTTGGTTGGGCAGCCTGGACTGGATGCACAGTAGATGCCTATGCCTTAGATGGGCATCACATTTCAGCTATAGTTTCATCTGGAGCGACAATTCTTTGATTCAACATATCCATGGTTCTCTAAAAAGCTACCATCATAGCAACAACCTCTTCTGGACTACTGTGTGCCATTGTGGGTCTGGAGGAATCGGCTATTAGTGAGCTGAGTGTGTGAGAATGGACATGTGACTGCTGAGTATTCTATGTTGGTGAAAACTAATTGGTTCTTTTTCTTCGAACAACTGGTAGGAGAAAGACTAACGCTGGCTGACCGTCAACTAGATCTCGGATTTTGCAACCTAACAGAGTGAGTCCACAAAACTTGGGGGATATTAGGTCTCTCTGAAGCTATCATTGCAAAACTACCTAGCAAAAGAAATAAAGAAAAGAAAAACAATAATATAAAATCGGACAGTACTTTGGCCCAATTTGCAATAGTTTATGATCACAACTGAAGGACTGTATTTCCTACTAAATTCTGCTCCCATAAACTAATATCAACTGTACCATTGATATAGTGTATTCTTGTACAGTTTCACTGTAAAGCACATATCAGGTAAAGAGAGCCAAAACACCCCTATGAGGGGGGTAGGGTTACCCTGTCCTAGATTTGACATGATCTAGGGTTTTATTACTTCAAGCAAGTAGTTTCACAAAATCTTGTATATGGGTGAGCATCCTGTCCTACGTTGGAATAGTCATTATGGCTATATGCAGCTAGGCCGAATGGTCGAAAGAGGTACCTCGGCAAGATTACCTAATATACCTCTCACACCTAACACCAAGAAGTAAAAGGAGGATCAAGCAGTACGACGGTAATCTAGATCCAAGGATTGTGTTTCCAACATGGCAGAGCCCACAACTGGCTAGCTTTTTGGCAAGCTTTTTAGGCAAGCCTCTAGCAAGCCGTCCAGGAATAGCAGATGGAAAACATTGTGACTTAGAGCATCAATGCAAATGTAATGTAAAGAACATATAAGTGTAGATAAAATTTCATATCATGAAGTTCGAGTCAGGTTCTCTAAATCCCTAGTAGAGTCGCCATAAACTGTAACTTGCTTTTCATGCTCCTTGAAGGGGTTTAGTCTCCTTGGATACAATAGCCCTACAGTTCAGACTCTGTGGTTCTCAATCTAATTTCACAAGTGCAATGTGAAATAGATTAAACAAATGAGAGTCCAAATCCGGCAAATTTTAGAAAATCTATTTTATCATCAAAGATGCCAGAAATGGACTGCATTGCCAGATTTCAGAGTTGCTACCTAAATGTTTTTGAAAAATTTAGGAAACTCATGACTCGTGCCAATGGCTACTTGTCCGTCATCACCAAAGTATCTCGGCTCAAGAACTTAGGTATGAGAGGAGAAGGTCATGAATTGAGCACCCCACTCACCCGATCAAAAATCGGCCTCTACTAATTATGATGTGATTATTATCAACAATATATGCTCTTATTCCGATTTATTAATGCTAATTTACTATGTGAGGCACACAAGTATAGACGATTTCTCCCATTTTGAAATGCTTTGATTTTATGTTTGTTTTGAAAAGAATTTTGAGTATGTTACTTGAAAAAGTAAGCTCATATTTACATTAACCAAATAATCCCAATTTAAGCAAAATAGCATTCATCCACAGGCATTCAAATAGGTATATCAAATAGGCACTTAGCCTCATGGTAATATGCTTGATATGACAACATTAACATTCATGCAATATGCTAAAGCAAGAAATGTTCACCTAGTACTCAATCGAGGCAAGCCAAAATAGAAAAAATGGTTAGAAAAATGCATGCTCTAATATTCAAATGACTAATGCAACACATATAAAACGCAACTACTAGGTTCGGTTATTAACATGACATTTAGCTCAACTCAAAGCATGCATTTAGTGCATGTATTCAATTAAGTAAGAAGTAACAATAAGGTTATAATGGTGAACCGAACCCAATGCATGCAAAAATGGATTCAAGTCATGGCAATGATATGAAAATGTAAAACACGATGCTATATGTAAGCATCGTAAGCAAATAAATAAAAGGGAGAAAGAATGGGGATTGGAAGACATGCACAATATTACAAATTTGCCCTCATAAAAGAGGGTCCGAATGTCCGGATTAAATTAATTATTACAACACTAAATAAATAAATAAATAAGCTAAATTAACTAATTATTAAAAATTCAAATGAATCTAATTAATTAATTACAATGTACTAAAAATAAAAAGTACTAATTAATGGAGCGGGAAACGAGAAGGCGCACAGACACGAATAAGAATGTCCTCCTGAAAACCTCTCTGTTTACTAGTAGTTTCTATTTTATTTTGCAATCAGAAAATTAATCTATCTTTGCCTCAGCTTCTACTCTGTTCTTCCATGAAAATGACACTATTTGCACAAAATAGGGTGGCTGGCCAGCCTTGGAAAGTGGTTGGCTTGGCAGAAAGGTGGTCGGCCGACCACTGTTTTTGGGTACTGCCCTGCTGCCACAGAAATGAAACAGAGCAAAAATAGAGTATTTCCAAGAGATGTTTGTTCTTTCTGTATCTCTCTATCATGAAATTGATCAAGGAAGGAGTAGACTCGATTCGCAAACTTGTTGCGTGATGATCTCTGTATCTTTGAGACAAAGGCTCAATAAATGAAAATTAAAGACCAACAAAACCATCTCCCTATCATAGAGTTACCTCAAGGGAAATGGTAGACACTGCTTCTCAAATCATTAACATTACTAAAGAGTATGTAATAACTCGAGACGTAATACGTTCAATATAACGTCCGATTGAACCTAAACCAATTTTATTACTCTTGTTTACCACTTTTAGTCCAATTTTAACTGCTTTTACATTACCTTGCCATCCCTTATTCATTTTTGTCCAAAAGTGATAATTACGTCTACTAATGAAGAGAAGTATCAAACAAGAAGTTGTGCTTAACATGAGAGAGATGTAATGGCCTGGTAATGAACTTTCGAAAAGGTTAAACCATTAAGCATGAAAGGTCTCTTTCTCATGTCTTAAACAACAATCAATTGTTTGAAATGACTCTTAAACAAAGAAAACCAAGAAAGGATGGAGGTTGCAGAGATGATTATTACAAATGTGAGTATATGTATGAAAATTATAGAATAAGAGCTATCAACTCAAATAGATTGGTGTCTAAGGCCTAAACCGCCAAATCTATGAGAACTTACAACAATACGAGCATAATATTCAAAGCATAACTAAGTAAACAACTAAAACAGCCCCAAAAGCTTAAAAAAAAAAGTGCTGGAAATTAATTTGAAAAGTTAGAAAAAAAACAAGTAAAAGAAGAGGAGAACAAAGCTAATAAACAAGTCTATGGAAGGGTGGCTAACTCCTCTACTTTTTGGACCTTCAAATTACATGTTTGAGCCTCTGAAAACTCTAAAAATCAGTAGCTAAAGGTTGAGAAACAAGTGGGAAACACAAGGATATAAGCTATGGAATAAGGTTCAAGGAAGAGTGGTTAACCCCTCCACCTTTGGCAACTTTAAAATCACAAGTTTCAACCCACAAAAATAGTCCAAAACAAAGTATAAACACCAAGAAAAAGGAAGAGAGAAAAGTAGTTTAAACAAGGCAAATGCTATACCTTTGAATAGAAGATACTCTTTGGTTCACAAACCACAAACTGTTCACCCTTAAGAGTTGAAATTTTGGCTCAACAATCTCAGCAAGATGCCTCAAATTTTTGGTTTTGGAAGTGTATGCATAGTGCAAGATAAAGAGAGAGTGTGTTTGACAAGTTTTGGGCTCTTGGCAAATTTTTCTAACCTAAAATCAAGAGGGATGGTCATTTATTTATAGAAAAATTGGTTCATTTGTCAGAAATATCTGTATTGAGCTACCTGGTGCAAGGCATGCACATGGGGGGGGACAGTTGACAGCAAATATCTATCTGTCGCTGGACATAGCCAGTCGGCCAAGAAAGGGGATGACCGGCCAATAAAATTGGCTTGCCGGCCACCTTTTGGCCAACAGGCCTCTGAGTGGTCAGGTTAGAAAAAAAATTAGGTTTTGGTTCAAAGGGGGTGCAAGGTTTGGGCTCTGAAGTTGGAAAATTGAAGCCTTTTGCTGAGGAAATTGAACAATTGCACAGCGTACTAATTCACCATTGTGTGTCCACCATGAGGCACCCAAGTCTTAAGGGTGGTCAAAAATGGGATGTCTACAGTAGTGGAAGTGCAGGAGCGTTTAGTGAATCTGAAAATGTTCGTTTTATTCCTTCTCTTCTTCACTCCTTCCTCTTTCTCTCTCTACTTCATGGTTTTTTTCCATTCTCTTGACATTTACCCCCATCACCTTATATTTCCTTTGATTTCTCCAAATCCATTAGGATTTTGACCCTAGTGCTGTGCAGTGAAGATCAAATTTCGGTACCGCTGATTCTAAGGCTTTTCTTCTCATCTTTTCTCTCCAAAATTGAGGCAGGGAGTTTCTTTGAGTTATGTATATGATGTTAGTATGTCTAGTCCTTCTTTGGCAAATCTATAGTCTTATGAGGTGAATTTTGTATTGTTGGATTTTAGAATTAAATGCTTAAAAATGTGACATCTCTGATGTTTTTACTCAAATTGACTTATTTTATGAACTTATGAGACTGTTGGAAGTATATTGATGAAAATGTCTTTAAAAAATGAGGAAAATATGTATTTGAAGGAAAACCCTAGATTTTTGTAATTTGGGGAAAACTTGATTATCTGAAAATTTATGCAAATGTTGGAATTTCCATGAAGAAAAATGATGAATTCTCATATGCTGATATGTTGTTGAGTTATCCATGAGATGGATAAGTTTTTATT